AAATTCAACAGTACAAAGTGTCAAATGATGAGTCGGGACTGATGGGACTAGTAATGAGTGTCTGTGGGAGCTCGTATAAGCACGAAGTGACTGAAGAGAAAAAGTCTCACATTTATCACAGAACAGCTATGAATCAGAAATACAATACAGCTATTAAGGAGACAAATGTGATCCTTTAAATTTAATGGATCACATTATTTTCGCAGTGGAGAAGGAACTATCTACGTTGAAATAACTGGTGCCTTAGCCATGAGCCATTATCTGCAATATCTGATTGCTTCTGGTCACACCTATTCAAGGAAAATTAATTCAAGCTGGAATAAATGCACGCAAATGCAAGTAGGATGATCAGAAACAGAGAACTTTGCTTTTGAGAGGAGACTAACACTTCCTCTTGTCCAGCAAACGAAGACTACGAGGTGTAAGTCTCTATAAGCTTAACTAGAAAAATAAACTCAGCTGGAACACTTCAACTATTTATGCTGAAGAACAATGCTGGCATGACAGGTGTATGGAATTATAAATACAGTAGCACAGAGATTAAAATGAGCTTCACTACCGAGTAGTTCTGAAACTGCCTTCCACTGGTAAAAATCGGGGCCACATCCCAAGTACTGTTAAAATGGACCTTTGCTAGTGGTGGTCTGGGCAATTCCAGCTCAAACCCTACGGGATGAACTTCGTGACTCAGCCTCGTGGTGCTGTATTTGGCCTAGCACCACACCAACATTCTCCAAATTTCTCAAACATCATTCAGTAACAGTTCCATGCTTAAACAGCACGTCAACCCAGATGCTCCTGTATTTGTCCAAAACAACTGAGGACACCAGCTTTCAACAAAAGCACCGCACGTGCCCATTTGAGGAATGCCGTATTCCTCCCGCAGGGATGAGCCAAAGGCTTTAATTTTAAGTCCTGCTTTCACAGCTACAAAGCTGGTCTGTTCACACACACACAAAAGGCTGCCTTGTCCTGCACTCACAATCCTCTGTATAAGCCAATGATTTATTTGGCTAACAGACACCATCCCTGCTCAGGTTAGGCTCCCTTTGAGGTGCAACTCCCAGAGCACAGGAGAAAACCCTCTGCTTTTCGGAGCCTTTTTGGAGAGGAATGCTGCAGCAAGAGCCTGTACAAGAACTTACAACAGAGAGTCTGTACACCAACCAACCAAATTACCTGGAAGACTAAATGTGATCATCATTCTGCAGGTTGGTTTTTTTTTTTGGAAAGCCTGCCTAAGCTCTCCAAGTCTTGTTCTTAGAATCATAGAATCACAGATTGGTTTGGGTTGGAAGGGACCTCAAACATCATCTAGGTCCATCCCCCCTGCCATGGGCAGGGACACCCTCCACTACACCAGGTTGCTCCAAGCCTCATCCAACCTGGCCTTGAACACTTCCAGGGATGGGGCAGCCACAACTTCTCTGAGCAACCTGTGCCAGTGCCTCACCACCCTCTGAGTGAAAAATTCTTCAAACCAGTCAAGCCATACTTAAACTCCCAATACAAGCACCTGGTCAGGCCGTATCAGAAGTGTGTCACATTTAAAGAAAACCCATCACTGATGCCATTCCATTCACAGCTGATCAGCACACTGCTACAGGGAGAGACGCAAGAGATTTTTTTTTGGTCCATAAACACATTGCACTATTCAAAGGTTTTCATCTTTCAGTTTAATGAAAGAAAAATGTCTTAAAGTGATTACGCATGTCTGACTTCCAGCTTCTTTTAATGGCACAGGCCAGTGCAGTAAATTGCAGAAAGCGAGCTCAGTTAGAATTTTATTTTAATTAAAAAAAAAAAGAGAGAAAACTCTCAAGATGTGAGGTCCTATTAAAAAAGTGGCTGTTCACTTGTAAACAGAATAAAAATGGTAAGAACACAAAGTTTCATACAGCTTCAACAAAACCACTTTTCTTAAGCAGTACAAGTGATGTTACAACACCGTAAGAACACCAAAAGCAGAAAACAAAACAAAATGGCAGAAGAATCACATAGCATTACTAAAATGATAAATTATTTACATTGAATATTAATAGCTTGACACTTTTATTGCTCCAGTGGCAGCGTGTTGACAAGTGAATGTAGTAAACTGTCATAGTGGGACAATAATAAACATACATTTATGGTTTTGCATATGGAGTTTTGTACCTATCAAGGAAAGCATGGGAACTTTTTTATTTATTTATCAAGACCACACTAGATTTAGCAAAAATGTTTTCTGTTTCAATGTCACCTGTCTACAACGGAAACCACACTTCCCAAACTTGTCTGTGCATGTCTTGGAACACTTTTTTTTTTTCTTTCCCCCTCCTATGGTAAAACAACTTCACAGACACAGGTGGGGAACCAGTAGGTAGCAGCTTTGATGCTCTGCCAGTATTCTTTAATACTTCAATACTCCTTAGATACAAAAACTTTAACTAGATATAAACCCGAATATTTCCTAAGCAAAAACTAGAAAGGAAAGTTAGTGTCAACATTGTTTGTTTGAAAAAATTAAACACTGATTTGGTAGACAGCAACTGCTTTTAAAAATCTGCTGCAAACTCACACTATTGATACTTACTAGCTCCCTCTTCTCACTCTCTGCACAATGTTTTCTCTTTTGTAGGAACCTGTCAAGGCACTTTCTTTACCACTTCCACTACACTTTGCTAACATTAATCTCTGTTACATTGCTACAGATTCCTTCTCCAGTTAATAAGTATCCTCCATAAACAGGCTTACCAATTCATGCTGACTTCTTACTGTCAAAAATGAGATTTTTCAGTCTTGTGAGACACAATTACTTGTGTTTTTCTATTAAAGCAAAGGACAGCCCAGGCAGAAAGGAACCTGTAGGCAGAACAGAAGTGCACCGAGTTCACAGCAGTACTAGCAGCTGCCTTCGACTTGAAACAAGCTACAGAACCTGTGTCTTTCAGATGCAAATATAATACTGAGTGCTGGGTCTGCATTTTAATGCAAATTTATCTACTTACTAAAACATGGAGCTTACTGTAAATGGCAGTTTTGGCTCTCATATTCTTCACTACATGCTTTATGGCCACATATGTCTATTTTAATGTCTATTAAAACACAAAAAAGAGCCCCTTTTGTGGTTTGAAGACTATACAATCAACGAATAACAACAAAGTAGAAGGTATGGAATTTACATACTTAAAACCATGTAAACTTCAAAAAGTAATATTCTGCGCTTAAGTCCCTCGTGGTGCCTGGGAGAGACCCAGGCCCATGGGAAGGGGCCAAAGGGATAAGGGTGGGAAAGCAAAGCCCAGATCCTGTTCCCCCTTGGACCTCTGGCCATATCACGGCATGGCGTGGCCAGGGAGCAGCCCGGAGGGACTGGGGGCTCCTGGAGCTGGGGGTGTTCTCCCAGCTTGGCACAGCACTTCACAGAAACAAATCAGGCTGAGAAATTCTGAACTGAATACAGTGAGGTTAGCAGAGATGAGGATTTCTGTTAGCAGTGAGACCGAGGACTGCTCAGCATTCACCGCTGGCAATTACTAGAACTCTCGTTTGGCTTGCCTGTTCTCTGGTTGGAAAAGAACATTTTGAAAATATTGTCACATAAACAAGAAAATAAGAACCTGCTGAGATTTCTTGAGTTTCTTACATAAAAAAAAGAAATAAAAATTACTAACAAAGTTCTTGCATAACAACAAGAAATTTCCATTGTTCTGTTAATTAAGCTAAGCTCCCTGCATTTACTCCAGAAACTTATTTGTAAGACAATACATAGGATTGGGTGTGCTATTCCAGTTTTGGTTTACACTGCATTTTTCTGCCATTAAGTATTTCCTCTGCTTCCAGTTAACACTCACCCTAAAAAAAAATAAACTGGAGAGAACACTTTTCTTGGTTCTGTGATAGAAACCTGAGTTGCAAGGTGTAGCTAACGTTAAATCCAAACAACATAATTTTATTTATTCATTGTGTTACGAATGCAATTACACAGTTGTCACCAATCTAGCAGTCAAATGAAACCTCTGCACTAAGCATACAGATCCAGAATCTGAAGCATCAGTCTGTGATCAGAACCTATTGCAAGTGCTGGAGTCTGACACTCCTCAGCTGTGCAGTAAGAACAGCATGGAATTTGATTCCAAGTAACCACTTGCATAAAACTGGCCTTCTGTAAACACTGTGTACAAGGAACCCAGCCTACTACAGCTATTAGAATGCAATGGTCTTACAAATACCATATTTTAATACAATATCACGTACTGAAAAGATGCAAATACATTCAGAGGAAATCCCAAGTCACCCTGAAAACTAAAAAGCAACTTGGGATGATGTTGCAAGGAGTCAAGTTGCTGCAAAGAAATGCCTGGACACGTACGATGATATTCACCACGACCTGCAGATAATCACTCATCTGCTGGTTTTTCTCTGATTTCTAATTTCTAGTTAGGAAAGGGAGGGAACTTGCATCAATTTTCATTTGCTTACTATTATCAAGTGGTCTTGCTTTGGCCAGCCATTACAGGAAGCTTTTGTACAATTACTTCCCTTCCTGAGCTCGGGCAAACAGGGAAGAATCCAAAAATACTTGTGAATTCCACAAGGCGTTTGTGGCTCTTCAGACTGCGCCTGAATGCCAAAACATATGCAGGAACCCTTTCAGCCCATCCACTTCCTCCCATCAGTGTGTTTTGAAACACTACTCTGATTTAGATAAAATTAATTTCTACTGGAAAGGATGTCGTGCCACTTAACGGGTGAAATGTTGAAGTACTACCACACTACAAAAATAATGAAAGCGTTACTTCAGTTTTGATTTGGCTGTTCCAAATTCTCCTCCATAGTAATGAAGGTCTGCAATTATGAAACTTTTTTTGTCCTTATTTAAAATAAACCAAAACTTGACATCCATGTATTCCTAACTTAAAGACACTGTAGGATGTTTTGCTAATAGCAGCCACCATCTGCCCCACAAATGCAGCTTTTTCAAAGGTGAACAGTATTTAAGGTTCCTATTTCAGGTGCTACAAACAACACCTGAATTTTATTTTTTTTTTGGGGAAAAAAAAAAAAGACAGAAATGCTCTGCATTTTTCATCCATTTACTAAACAAAGTGCAACGGAGCCCTACACATCTGACAGTATGTACAAACTCATTATGGCTTTACCATAAAACCAGCATGTGGATGGGTCTATACAATCAGAGGGATACTAGCAAATGGTAACCAGTAAAACCACATCGGGCTGTTGGCAATAGAGTAAGAGCTATATTACATTCTGTAAACCTTGGCATACCATACTTTACATTATGCAAAGAGTCAGTATTTACAAATCCATAGTGGGTAAAACAATTAACCCCCTAATGTAAATGATGATTTTGCAAAGTGCAGGACAAAACCAGTGCTGTTGATTGCGAGTCCTACGCAAGCAAGTTATACTAAAATCATTACGACTAGATGCTTACCTGGACATTTCCACTGAGGGTTTATAGGATTGCGACATTTAGAATAAAATAGAGTGTGACACAGCATCAGGATGCATGTTTGAGGACAGCAAATATAGAAATTAATAAGGCAGCATGCTCAGAATAAGTTTAAGCAGCACTGATGTTAGATCCTTAGTGGCAACTCTATCAGTTATTGTTAATGTTAAAAATTCAGAGTGCAACGTAGAAGCCTCGTTTAACATAAAAAAAAAAATGTGCAAATTGTTCTCTTCTTAACAAAAGAAAGTAACATAGCACAGAAGATATTCTGCTGAAGAACATTTTTAAGTCACAGCAAAGTAGACCATCTTCTTTCCAAAATCATCTACAAGGCACTAAGGGTAGAAAATGACAGGTAACATGAAAGAGCAAATGCTGTTCCTCAGTCAGGTCGAAATATGGGATATTTTGGTAAGAACTCTATTAATATTACCTGTTGAAGAAGGGAAAAAGACAAGAACAGAACACAGTAACCAAAAAGTTCAAACCTTCAGCACAATTTCCATGCAACATTAGCTGGTACATAAGGCTAAACATATCTGAGATATTCTGTAAGGAGGGAACGTTTCCCAGAGTAACAAAGCAGAGATTTAAGTCCTTTTGAAATACAGAGCTTCTGGACACTTGACTTTTTTGGGGTGACTATCTCTTTTCTTCAAGCCTACATAATCTGTACGGCTATACATGAAAGTGGATGGGGGAGCAGTAGGACCACAGGAATATTTTGAATTCTGCTTTCCTAAATGAACTGTCTTGAATAAAACTTTTATGAAATTCAGACCAATAAAAAAAAAAGAAAAAAAAGAAAAAAGATCCAGATAAAAACCACACTACTATAAATCCACAATATTTCTGCACAAAGAATTTGAATCAAAGTAATTATGAATACCAATGGAAAAGGTGATAAACGTTAAAGAACAATGGACTGGTGGAGGAATCACCAGCCAGACTTTGGCCCATTTAGTTGACCGAATCCCTTCGGAGGCAGTTGTGACGGGCAAAGGAGTCCAGGAAGGCTGGACATCCTTCAAGAAGGAAATGTTAAAGACGCAGGAGCAGGCTGTCCCCATGTGCCAAAAGATGAGCTCGTGAGGAAGAAGATTGGCCTGGCTGAACTTCCAGCTTTGGCTGGAACTCAGGAAAGAAAGGAGAGTTCATAACCTTTGGAAGAAGAAGCAGGTAACTCAGGAGGACTACAAGGATGTCATCAGGTTACGCAGGGAGAAAATTAGAAGGGCCAAAGCCCAGCTAGAACTTAATCTGGGTACTGCTGTAAAAGAGAATAAGAAATGTTTCTATAAATACATTAGCAACAAAAAGAGTCTCCATCCGTATTGGATGTGAGGAGAAACAGTGACAAAGGAAGAGGAAAAGGTTGAGGCACTTGATGCCTTCTTTGCCTCAGTCTTTAACAGTAAGACCAGTTGTTCTTGGGGTATGCAGCCCCCTGAGCTGGAAGACAGGGACGGGGAGCAGAATGAAGCCTCCATAATCCAAGGGGAGATGGTTACCGACCTGCTACACCACTTAGACACCCACAAGTCTATGGGGCTGGAGGAGATCCACCCAAGGGTACTGACAGAAGTGCTCACCAAGCTGCTTTCCATCATTTATCAACAGTCCTGGCTCACTGGGAAGGTTCTAGTTGACTGAAAGTTGGCAAATGTGATGCCCAACTACAACAAGGGCTGGAAGGAAGATCCAGGGAACTACAGGCCTGTCAGTCTGACCTCGGTGCTGGGGAAGGTCATGGAGCAGATCATCTTGAGTGCCATCACATGGCACATACAGGTGACCAGGCCCACTTGGCATAGGTTTATGAAAGGCATGTCCTGCTTGACTAACCTGATCTCCGTCTATGAAAAGGTGACCCGCTTAGTGGACGAGGGAAAGGCTGTGGATGCTGTCTATCTAGATTTTAGTAAATCCTTTAACACTGTTTCCCATAGCATCCTCGTGGAGAAATTGGCTGCTCATGGCCTTGGATGGGCACACGCTTTGCTGGGTAAAAAACTGGCTGGATGGCTGGGCCCCAAGAGTGGTGGTGAATGGAGTTAAATCCGGCTGGTGGCCAGTGACCGGTGGCATTTCCCAGGGATCAGTATTGGGGCCAGTGCTGTTTAACATCTTTATCAGTGATCTGGATCGAGTGCACCCTCAGTAAGTTTGCAGAGGACACCAAGTTGGGTGGGAGTGTTGATCTGCTCGAGGGTAGGAAGACTCTTCAAGTGTGATCTGGACAGGCTGGATCGATGGGCTGAGGCCAACTGTATGAGGTGCAACAAGGCTGAGTGCCAGGTCCTGCACTTGGGTCACAACAGCCCCACACAACACTACAGGCTTGGGGAAGAGGGGCTGGAAAGCTGCCCAGTGGGAAAGGAACTGGGGGTGCTGGTCAATAGCCGGCTGAGTATAAGCCAGCAGCGTGTCCAGGTGGCCAAGAAGGCCAATAGCATCCTGGCTTGTATGAGAAATAGTGTGGCCAGCAGGACTGGGGGAGTGACTGTCCCCCTGTACTCAGCAAGCCACACTTCGAATCCTGTGTTCAGGTTTGGGTCCCTCATTACAAGAAAGATGTTGAGGTGCTGGAGTGTGTCCAAAGGGCAACGGAGCTGGTGAAGGGTCTGGAGCACAAGTCTTGTGGGGAGCAGCTGAGGGAACTGGGGGTGTTCAGCCTGCAGAAAAGGAGGCTGAGGGGAGACCTTCTTGCTCTCTGCAACTGCCTGAAAGGGCATTGCAGCGAGGTGGGGGTCGGTCTCTTCTCCCAAATAACAAGTGATAGGACAAGAGGAAATGGCCTCAAGTTACGCCAGGGGAGGTTTAGACTGGATATTAGGAAAAATTCCTTCCCCAGGAGGGTTGTCAAGCATTGGAACAGGCTGCCCAGGGCAGTGGTGGAGTCACCATCCCTGGAGGTGTTTAACAGACGTGCAGACGTGGTGCTTAGGGATGTGCACCACAAGTGCACCAAGTGATGGACTTGGCAGTGCTAGGTTAATGGTTGGACTTGATGGTCTTAAAGGTCTTTTCCAACCTAAACAATTCCATGATTCTATGACAATATCTAAGTCTCAATATATGCCATGCCTGCTCTTGTTAAAAGTGGCCTTCAGGAGTATGTGTCACACACAACTGCACGTTTCTCTGAGAGATTTATTTTGGATAGGTGACAGTCTCGTAAGCTCAGGATTTTCTTTGTAAAAATCATAGTTATGTTGAATACCAAATAAGTAACAGAAGCCATACTTACATATTCCATCATATTGCTAGTTTCACATTTCCTTTTACTCAGCTTCCAGTGCAAACCAAGCTAAAAAAATAATTACCAAAGGATTAGTGCACACCACAGCATTGTTTTGAAGAGTAACGTTAACAAGCATTAGCAATATCCAACTATTAGGAGCTGGAACACTTCAGACACAGGTTTAAGATCACTACAAAGTACGGAATTATAACAAGACTGTAAAATTCCGACGTGCCAATTATGCAAAAAAAACTTACTCTTCTTAAAGCTGAAGAAAACAAGCACTCAACTTTTCTTACCTTATGATATAGTCTGTTATTTTCCCATTCTAATAACTTCTGAATTGATCTTCTAGTCTAAAAAGGAAGCCAAAACCGTGTTACAAACAGTTCAGTAGTCAGCCTCATCCAGAAGAATCTTACTACTGCTTTTCTGGCTTCATTTAAAATACGTTAGTTTTATAAAAGTAGAACGAAGCAAAAGAAAAATTATAAATGGAAGTCCTACCACTTCAGCTCCCCACTCCTCAACATCAGATCTTCTTCAGAAAAAAAGAAAACACCCACAGGTTTTTGGCTAACTTGGGACTGCAACTTTCCCAGAATTCATTTACTAAGAGATCCTCTTGAATTTTGTATTTTTGCCTATCACAGCCAAGCCAACAAAACAGCATCTCCCACATTCTCTTGGCCAAAAACTGCACTTGCTACAGGTCGTCTACTGACAACACGGAATCTACATGTATGTAATTTCCAGATTTTGCTAATGTAATTGTTACCTGAATCTTGAAAAATCTCAACACTGTAGAACCCCAGCTCACAACAAACAGTGCCTCTATTTTTAACTCTCAGATACCGAAGCACGTAGGACCTTTATGTTCTGCTCTTCCAAAATTATGAGAGATAAGATTTCTGGAGTTTCAGTGATTTTTAAGGTCACAAAAAGACCACTGTGGTCGTCTACTCTAGTTCCTGCATGGTATGCCACAGAATTCCATCCACAAATTCCTTTGCTAAAGCTAATAATGGTAGATGAGCTACACACACCATCTCATTAAAAAAAAGACACAAAGCTATCCAATCCTGAATCAAAGACTTACTGGTGGAGAATCCACCACTTCTAAGTTTTTCCAGTGACAAAGCAATCCTTGGAATTAAAGAGTACATGTTGGTATGTGTTTCAGCCACCTTAGTTTCATATCTCATCATGCCTTTTGTTGACAGATGAGTGTTTGGGGACTGGCTGGGATGGATTTTTCTGCACAGCAGCTTGCACGGTGCTGTGGTTCAGATCTGGGACCAAAATAGTGTTGACACTGCATCAATGATTTGGGTTTTCTTCCCTTTTTTTCCCTCACCTATTAAACTGTCCCTATCTCAACACACGAGTTGTTGAGATAGTTGTTGCTCTTCTGATTCTCTCCCTAGTCCTGCCTGGCAGGGGTTGAGTAACCAAGTAGCTGGTGGGTGCTTAGTTGGTGATTGCATTTGATCCACCACAAGGGAACATTAAGAACCATCTTACACTTGTGATTGTTGGAGTGATCAAATCGCTCTACTATACACACACATCTCCACAGAAGTAACATCCTCTGCCCTACTCCTACCTATTATTTGTACTGTTGAGAATTATGTTAACACCACAACACCACATGGGCATTTATTTAGATTTTCACTACCACAAGAACATCAAATACAGTTTTAAAACTGTAAATATTCCATCTGTGTAGCTCAAGCACACTCCTCTGCAATAAGAATGTTTATAAAGGCAGGTAAAACAAGCTGAAACACGTCCCGTAACGTTTGAGTGATACAGGCTTCAGCGATTAGCTGTTCAACGCGTTAACATATTATGCTTTTAGTGCATTTCTTTTATTTTTAACCAAAATCTCAATCTCAGTCAATGCAACTGTTATTTTCTTGAGCAAGTTGGAAAGTTCGGCAAAACACTTCTGTTTTATTTTCTCCAAAAAGCAATGCCTATTCCTCGTTTTTTTTTTGCTTTTGGTTTGTTTTATTAAAGATCACAAACTCTCAAAAGCCACAAGTATTCCTTTTTAACAGCTTTTTACTTACAATCTTTTCCTGTAATTTACTTGATAAGTGTGGGAGGTGTTTTTTTCCTAGTGCACCTACATACTATTTATATTTGTAGATAATGAGATTTTATGGTCGTAAGTCTTTGCAGCTACGCAGTTTGTAAGAATATCATTACGATATACCTATTTATGGACTTGCTAAACATTTACTGCTGTGATAAATCAATTCTGATTGTAAACCATAGAGGTAATTAGGATCATGTTTATGTGATACTGCTAAAGCGCTTTGCAGAATTATTACTTTGGATCTGATTACAGGAGTTGTCAACTTTCTGTTGGTAGTGGTAGGGGAAAGGAAATCTTTAAAATTCCTGCATAGAAAACAAATTTGCCTTTGTTCTTAATAGCAACAGCACAGTAAAAGATGTCAGCTAAACCACAGCTCTGAAATGATATGGCCTCTATTGCATACAAAAAAGTGATTAATTTAAAAAAAATATTTATTCTGGGGGGGTGTGTGAAGAGGAAGAGCAATTTTCAATCCAGTTCTGGCAATCTTTGAAGGTCAATGTCTAGTTCCGCACTTGTTTAATTCAATTCTTAGACCTTCAGAAATCCTGAAAATTTAGGTTATCATAGACTCCATCCTGTTTTTCGAACTGAGATGGGATTAGCCGTTCCTAAGACTATTAAATCAATTTGTAATTTGGTATCATTTACATCATTAAAAACCATAATTTTTTTCTATTTTCTAAGGAATGGAAAACAGAACAACCTTCTGAATGCAAATGAGACAAAAGAGAGTTTTGAAACGGGGATGATAACACTCTTTAATGTTTCCAATAATTGCAAAATAAATAGAATAAGAAGAAGGAAACATGTACTCACTCTTTTGTTAAGACAGACGACAGGCCACAGGCTGCAGCCCAGTGTGCAGCAGCAGCACAGGCAGAACAGCCACTTCACGTTGACTGGGAGATTCTTCCTCAAACAGGCATTCACGCGACTGATGCTGGTCTTGAATTCTTCCGGGGCAACCTGCAACAGAAGTGCTGACCTTCAGTGGAAAGCCATTACAGGTGTATGTTCTCAATAATTGCCTCTGCAGATTAAAATGTAAATGAAACATAATACCATGATAAAGTATGACCTCATCCTCTAAAACACTGGTCACCCAGCGAGCGTGAAAAGTCAATTTCCTGGCACAAATTCATTTATGGTGCATGCTTTGCAAAAACTTGCATTAAAAAGCTAAACATCACTTAAGACGAACAGCCTCATCCTTATTTATTGCACCATTAATAAATCAATTGTCTTGATAACACGGAAACTAGAAGTGGGACACTGCTGTGCAACATATGTACGCTGACCAAAAAAAAAGGAATATGGAAGAATGACAGATTTCTGGTTTCCAAGGCAATGCAGGGCAGCTTCGCAGTAAAAACACTCTTGTGTCACACAGAAAAAAAGGATAACATTGTCCAAATGGGTTTCATACCAATGCAAGTCTACACTGTGCCCAGGTGAAGGTGGACCTCTGTCCACAAATAAATTCCTGAAGTGGTCCATATCCACATGAGGCCACAACTTCACTTGCGGCTGCTTCCTAAAATAGGGAAGCCCGGAAAGACATATCCTGGATTATATTCAAGGCAAAGAAGTGCATCTTGTACAGGGTTATGAATAAAGCCTAGCTGTTGAAAAATAACTTTTTGAAATTAAGGAATATTCAGTGGAGCTTACTCAAAATAATATTTTCTATGTATTGCCACTGCAGAGTCACAGTGGAAAACCACATTTTCTATCAGAAATAAGCTTCCTTCTCTGAAGCAGCATGTTTCTTACAAAAGACTGCAAGCACTTAGCTATTCACACATCCCAAATCCCTCATCTCTCCACGGAATCTCAATAACTTGTATCTGACAAGCCAAACAGAGATTCATGGTACTGACTGCAGGATGGCACTCAGCTGTAACACAATCCAGCATTCGAACACGCAAAGCAGAATGATCAGATGCAACTTCAACAGACCTGACCAGTCAGGCACAACTCAAAAAAAAAAAAAAATTACTTTCTAACTACTTGCCATGTTGTAGAAAAAAAAACCCTAGAATTAGTCTGTATAGGAAGCTGTGCAACTACCACTGAGTCCTTCCAGCCAAGCAAGCCCAGCTGTGTCCTTTGGTTCTGCAAACAAGGGCAACACAACAAAAGCATTAATTTAATGACAAAGGCTCCTTTCAGCAAAGGAGCAAAACTATGGGACAGGAAAGGAGAGGACCTGATTCTCCTACCTCCGCCTTTCGCAAGAGCTAAATTCATTAGAACATTGCAGGAAAGGGGGTAAATAGACAGAGCATCTGTTTCCTGGCCACTCAGATCACCCTGCTGTATGGAGTCAGAGGTCATCTGGGCTTGTACACAAGCCAGGCCTACAGTGAGTAACACAAGAACATAATTTAACATGGTGATAATTTTACAGCAG